TTACTACTAGAAAGTATTATTAAGTAAGAGCGCTTTCTAAAAGTCTTTTAAACACTTTCTAATCTATATATTTAGAGCTTATATATAAAATCTCTAAGATATTAAATAATACTTTATAAAGACTAAATATAGCGTTTACTATAAGTAGTATACTACTTTTAATTAAACTTAATAATATAATAACTTTATAGTAAAAGAGAGTAAGTAGATATTATAATTAGAAGGCTTTTAGAGTACTTTCTAATAGCTATCTAGAGTAAAAGGTAGAGCTAGCTTATATTATAATTCTAGAAGATAATAAGACTATTCTTAAGTTAGCTAACTTCTTTAGTTATATACTTAAGCGTAGCTAATAGCTTATAAAAGGTAAAAGTAGTTAAGAACACTAGACTAGCTTAGTTACTAGATCTTTACTAGCCTACTTTTTTTTAGCGCGCTTCTTTTTAGTATACTTATCTCTAATAAAAAAATAAAAGTAAGTAAACTAAAATACTTTTAAAGAGCTTTTCTAATATATTCTAAGTTTATCTAGCTTTTAAGCCTTAAAGTAGTAGATAGTAGAAAGTAGTTAGGTACTTAAAAATAAGAAAGAGAGACTTAAACTATAGAAGTAGTAACTATAACTTTAAAAAAAAATACTAGCCTTTAAGATAAGAAAAAGAAAAGTAGAGATTAAACTACTTTAAAACTCTAAGAAGTAGATAGCTTTTTAAATACTTTTAGAAAGCCTTTTACTAATTACTATCTAGTAGTTATAAGTATTAAAACTTTTATAAAATAGTATAAAATTTAAAAAGTACTTAACTACTCTTTTTATAATTCTAGCACACTTCTTAGTAATACTACGTAACTTCTTATTTACGCCTTTATCTATAGTATACTTAGCTTTCTTTTAAGCTAACTTATTTCTAAGCTCTATAATACTACTACTAAGTGTTATAACTTTCTTATCTTAAATTTTATACTATTTTATAAAAGTTTTAATATCTATAACTACTAGGTATTAATTAGTAAAAGAGATTAAGCTACTTTAAAACTCTAAGAAAAAAATAGCTTTTAGAATACTTTTAGAAAGCTTTCTACTAATTAATACTTTACTTTTTTAAATACATTAGCTAAGTAATTAAAGTATAGATACTAGGCTAGCTTTTTATTTTTTTTTAAGTTAAACTTTACTTTATTATTTTTTTTTCTCTCTTATTCTTTCTTCTTCTTTACTACCTACTATAGATAATAAGCTACTACTCTAGAATATATATATATACTAAAATACTATTTAAATACTCTTTAATTATATTTTAGAAAGTATACTAAAACTATATAGCTTTTTTTTTTTTACTAGAAAGCTTAATAAAGTTTAAAGAGAAAGATAGTAATAGTAAGTATATTATTTTTATTAGAGAGCTCTTTTACTATTACTACTAAAAGAAAAAAAGTAAAAAGCTTTATAAAGTAAGTTAGTATATATAAAAGTACTATAAATATATTCTAAATACTATTTAGAGAAAGTTTTTAAATTATAACTTTTTTATTACTTATATTAAAAAGTACTATTTATAGTATAAGATAGAGACTAAAAAGGCTAGCTACTTATTACTTATAGTAGAGATAGCTACTCTTATCTTTTATAAAAAGATTTTAAAAGTTTATACTATAGGTAGCTAGCTAAAAGAGACTTCTAAGAAGAATATACTCTAGAAAAGTATTCTAATTACTTTTTTAATATACTCTCTCTAACTACTTACTTTAATACCTTTACTACTAACTTAAAAGCCTTCTAAGAAGCTTAAACTCTTAAGACTACTTTTTCTAAGAAGTAGTAAGCGTAAAAAAGTAAAAGTTATACTAGTAGTATCTCTACTAAAATATAAATTAAGTAATTATAAAGTTTAAAAGAGAGTAGTAAGCTAAGCCTCTTTATTATATTAAAAGCTAAATTTCTTACTTATTTAGCTAAACTATAATACCTATAGAAAGATACTCTTAGAGTAAGGTATTACTAAAGTATATAGTTAGTATAAGAAAAAGAAATTAACTAGTAAGTATACTAAAATACTTTTTAAATACTTTTTTAATACTTTTTAGTATATTTACTTTAAGAAAACTATAAATATATATATTATTTTAAATTTTAAAACTTAGAGAGATTTTTTATAAAAAGTAGATATTTTTATTTTATATAATAGTATTAGACTTACTAGAAACTATATATTTAAGGTAACTTCTAGTAGCTAACGTTTATATAGTAATAGCTACTATTAATTCTATTACTAAACCTATTTCTCTTATACTTAAAGTAGTAAACTAAAAAGTATTAGTAAAGTATTTAAAAAGTATTTTAGTATTCTTACTTTAACTATTAGTTCTATACTTCTTTATATAAATAAAGTAAGATATAATATAACTAGTAGTAAGTATAATACTTATTATTTACTTAAAGTTAAACTATAAAGTATAGTTAAAAAGCTTTTAAATAGTATTTAGATAGCGTTTTAATCTACTTACTTTTTTTCTATAACTACTAGTTAATCTTAAAATTAGCTTTAACTTCTTAACTATTATAAAAGCTTATTAGTAAGCTAGAGTAGTAGCTTTAGTAGTAGCTTATTACTTAGTAAGAATATAGTTATACTTAATTTAGAGCTTATTATACTATTCTATATATTATTAAAAAGCTTTCTAAAAGTATTATAATAGTATTTTAATACTTACTTTTAGTAAAAGTAATAACTCTCTAGTTTAGCCTACTCTTTTTATTTTTTAAAAGTACTACTTTATAGAACTTATAAATATTAAGAAGATAAGTATAAATAAAATTATAAAACTTTATTCTCTTCTATATATTATTAGAAAGCGTTTAGAAAGTAATATAAAAGTATTTTAATATAACTTACTCTATATAGCGCGCTAAATTTTTTATAGTAGTAGATAACCTTACTAAAGTTAACTATAGGCTAGTTCTAATTATTAAATTTATAGCTAAAGTAACCTAAAAGTAAAGTAGTAAAGGCTAAGTATTACTTATAATTATTTTATATATTATTAGAAAGCTTTTAAAATATATTAAAATAGCTTTTTAATAGTACTACTTATAAAGCTACGTAGTACTATAGTAAGTAGTAAGTAGTAGGTAGTAAATAAGTAAGTAGATAAGAAGTAAAAGAGTTTAGTTTTAAATTATAATCTAAATATAATCTTATATAGGCGCTAGTATAAAGCGGCCTAGTATCTTAGCTATAGTCTACCTTAGCAAATCCTATAGTCGGGTGACCTGCATCCTCGCTTTCCTGCACCAGACACCACGACACCGCTCATCAGGCGTTCGTCATGTTCAACCGCAGCATTAACCGTTTCAAATGTGTAAGCCACCTGTCGCCACTATGATGGTTTCCGCGCCTGAATAGACCAGGCGCAGCCAAGGGCCTGATAAGTCGGTCGCGCGATGCGGCTGGCTGCCGTTGTTGTTGCGACACTCCCGTGCGAGCACCGGGGACCGACTGACATCAGATGATGAGCCTCTAACGTGTGCAACCCCTGCCAGCTGATGGTTACTGCTCAGCCCTAGGAAGATGCAGCTCAGCTACGACGCCAGAGCGGCCATTCCGAAAATGCTGACCGGTCTTTTGTAAAACCATCTAGAATACCTATTCCACAGTGCGGACCCTTATCTTCAAACATGCAATTGCAGACTCTCAAAATACTGAGACATGATCCAGCCGAGCGCTCTATGTGCCAATCCGATCTTTGACGCCTCCAACACCTGCCAACATGGATCCTCAAACTCCGCGATACTCATATTTACCTGCATCGCCGGACATTCGCATATCCCGACCAAATTATGCCTCTTTACCTTCGCGAACAAGCGACGAGTCCACCAACAGCAGGCGCGGGAGGCCAGCAACTTACAGCGAAACCGTCGACGACCCAGGCCTAGGTATTCAAATGGAGCCTATGTCATCACCAAAGTCACCAGGCTCCACATATTGGCGGCAGGACACCCCTAATACGAAGCCTGGTGCTTTTTCTCCTCCGACGTACTCTCCAGGGCCACGACCACCATACTCCAGAACACCAGACACCTTGTATTCGTTTGGATCCGGCATCTCGAGAGCGCGTACAGATCCTATGACCGAGAGGTTGATAGCACACCGAGCGACGCAGTCAACTCAGTGGCGAGTAAACTGGCGTGGGCCAGCACTCATGGTGTTTGCTTTCATCATGGGCATCGTGTTTGCGCTTCTTCAACACCTCTTGTATACCTTCTTGCACCACCAGCGAGAAGAGGACGAGGACAAGAAGTTTCGCTGGGTTCTGTATGGGCGCGCACTTGCCTATCTATCGAAGCTTGCTTTCGGCGGATGTGTGGTTCTGGTGTTTCGTCAGCGCATGTGGAGAGCGTTTAGGAACCGGGCTTTCACAGTGCTGTCTATCGACCAGATCTTCGGGGCTACAGAAGATCCAACAATCTTTGGCAATTGGGAGGCCCTTTCTAGTGCACCGGTTCTTTGCGCTATTGCCTTGGTGAGTAACTATCCCCGCAACAATTGTATGCGAAACCTGACTAACCGGGGACGTCTGCATGTAGGTCATCTGGCTGGTCCCGTTGGCAACAATTATCTTCTCGCCCGGTGCGCTTACCTTCGGAACCTATCTCGACAGCGAGACAATCGATCTCAACGTTCCCACGCTGAACTTCTCGATGGAGTCCACAAAAGACTGGCGACATCCGGTGAGGCTGGCCGACGGAAGCAACAAGAGATCGATGATGTATTACAATACTACAGATTTATCTGGTACTGCGCCAGGGTGGTTTGACTACTACGATCAGCCCTCGGCGGAGTTAAGACGTGTTGCTCTTCTGCTGGCTTATAGCAACGCGGACCGACCCAACATTAGGCAAGATGCTCGGCAAGACGCTTGTGGAGGGCGATACAATTGCACGTACGAACAAAGCTTTGTTGGGCCGAGCTACCAATGCGAAGAAATAGCAAGTAGTGCAGATGACGGTGGGAGACTAACGGAATTGGGTGCGCCCTTCAACATGAGCATTTTGGCACCGCGAGGCCGCTTCGTTTACTACGCCGACGTCGACGAGGGCGAATATGCCCGCCCACAAGCCGAGAACTTCCGCAAAGGTTCGGGTGGTATACCTGATGGTGACATTCCAGTCGACCTGGGTGTCTTCAAGTCGGAACCTGCTCTCTGGATTGGCTATGCGTTCAATTCCACAGTAAAGCTCGCGGAAGACGACCCTCTTGCAAAGAATTGGACACATCGCTATGATGCACGAATCATGCGCTGCATACATATGGAAACTAAGTATACAGTCAGCTGGAACTTCACTGAACCCTTCTTCAATTCCACGGTCAAGCTAGAACCGCAGAGGCTCATTATAGATGCCAGCTTTCCGCGGGGAGTTGACGGCAAGATCAACTACACCATCGATCCGGGACCAGCAGAAAATTACGTCAGCCCGCGGGACGATGTGGGTCTATACAAGAAGACGGCCGCATACCATGCTGTCGGCGACATGTTCAGAAACTTTCTTCGTGGGCACGTCGATCTCGAACCGCCATTGCCAGGACCATACTACGCACAAGTCTATTCTGATGTTACAAAGACACGACTAGTCGAGAAGAACAGCGAGCCTAAGCAAAACTTAACGGACGAGATCGAGACCTTCTATTCAGACATGGTTCTGTCATTGCTATCAGCGCCAGAGATGCTAGCAGTCGCCGAAGAACAGCTTACAGTGAACCGCTCGCGACTCCAATCCTCATTCGTCTACGTCCCCGAACGGCTCTGGCAATGTTACGCACCAGTTGTCTTCATCACACTCCTGATTCTCCTGTTCGGCGCTTTCACAATCTGGCAAGACGGGACGACGTTCTCGACTGGCTTCTCTCGTATTCTAGTTACCACACGGAATACCACCCTCGATGACATCAGCCGCGGCGCATGTCTGGGTAATGATCCTTTCCCCTTGGAGTTGATGCATACCAGACTTAAGTTCGGTGTTCTTGCGAATAGCAACGATCCAGAGTACATGAGGGAACATGGGTATCAGGGGATTGGCGACTTCCAGAGTGTGAACCACTGTGCTTTTGGCGTTGCTTCGGAAATCGCGCCTATTGTCAGAGGTGCGCCGTATGCAGGCTTGACGAGGCGGCATAATGGAAAGATGTGAGTGGAGCTGAAGACGGAGGATGAATAGCTACCCTGTGTGGTGTCGACTTGCTGCAAGCATGCGATGCAGGTTATCACAGGTAATGTAGTAGAGCATTGAAGAGACTCAAATTCAACCACAAGCTTTTGGTAACAGCAGCGCAACGTCCTGCACCCGCTTCGGCTGGCGCAGCCTGTATTCACCGTATATGTGTGTCTAGCGCTGATGCCGCGTCCTCGGAGTAATCAAGCCGGACGCCAGCCCGGGTCGTTAAGGTGTTTCAGAAGGCAAACGCGTTCAAAACATGGCCATGACTATTTGCTGTTTACGTACGTCGATGGAAATAATGGTAAACCCAAGCGAGATGGGTGGCTGCCAACAGATGCGGGTGGCTGCCCACGTGCCGCTCCTGTCGTTAGCGCGCTGGTCCTTCCCGTGCCTCCACCCACTCAGCTCTCATTCATCTTATCAAAGTTCGCGACACGCGATGCTCCAACCTATTGTATGCGATCTCGTCTTCTAGAGCTCCCTGGAACGCGTCGGCCTCGACACCCGTTACGTGACGGCTGCACCCACACGTGGATAGTGTGGGGGCGGAAGACTCCGCGGAAGCGTCGATCGACCCAGCCTCCTGATTCCGAGCTCCATTGACGAACCGTCGCCCGAACATCGAAATCGTATCAAGCTCATGGGCAGGTCTTGTAAACCATTGAAGTTAGTTGCCCATTACCTGGCTCTTCTCCGGTTGTAATATCAGCAGTCATGGCTGTTACTCACACAAGCGCGTCAACCTGCCGTGCACATTGTTGTTCGATTCTGTCTCCCGGTCTCCCAGCTATGACCATGCGCAAGGCTCAAAGGCATGCTCAGCACGGATTTCGCGTAGGTGAAGCACGAGGCGACCTGCAGGGGAATCATTGAGCATGCATTGGCGCAGCCACAACTGGGCAATGCTGAGACGTGCGTGAACCTCGCCCCTTTGCTGTACCGCAGTAGGATCACTGCAATATAAGCTCTAATCCGGCTGCTCTTGCCATGCAATCAGTAATCAAGCTGCAGAAACAATGGAAGGACTTTCGATTGCGGCGAACGGTACTTTCGATGAACGATTTCGTCATCTCTTACTAATAGCATCCAGGCCTCGCTGTCATATCTGTGGCTTTCCAACTTACCGAAGCGTGTATCAAACTTTATACATTTTGGGAGACAGTCGAAGATGCGCCTCGGGAGATCATTGCCATCAAGGAAGATCTACGCTTCCTCATCTCAGTCTTCCAGAGAGTCGAATCCCATGGCAACAGTCTTGGTGGTTGTCTAGCAGAAGGTGTGCAACACTGCCGAGCCAAGATTGCAGTAAGTGTACCGATTTCGGCACGCAAGCTACCACTGATCATTCAGGATCTAACACTCATTGTTGAAAGATTCGATGGCGGACTTTCATCGCTGTCGCGAAGGCAACGAGTACGTACAGCTTTTAAAGCTGCCCTTCACAGCAAACATATCCAACGGTTCCGTGATTCTTTGAACGACACAAAGTCGACTCTCACACTAGCTATGGCCCACGAAAGGTACGACGCGATTCTATGCATGCCAATAGCGGTTCGCTGACCATGCACACTTAGCGTGATTCAAGCTCGCTCTTCCCGTCTTTCGACAAGATTGAAAGTATTTGGAGAGATCGAAGGACATGACGCTTCTAAACCCGTCCGGAAAGGCCCACTTCGTTTGCCTGGGATCGAGGACGCGTCTAGTTGGACACCAGTGCAAAGTATCCCCTCCAAATTCGTTGGCCAGCGTTCCCTCCGTCGAATGACATCTTCATTCACGACAAACGCACTACAGCCTTTGGGTAAAATGCTCACGGAGCGCAGCTCGATCAATTATGAGGTACAGGAGCTCATGTTGCACGCCATCGCACAAACTGCGGTCACCACCTTCGAACCGACATCGCTGGAGATCTATTCACAAGACGGCTATACGATCGATGAATGTGGACAGCTGCGGACCAAGACTTTTGTTTATGCCGAGAATCTGCGGTATCGCGTAAGACACCATGTCTCAACCATCCGCACTGCACTCGGGTGTGCTTGGCTACGCACAACGACTATTCATCACGACAACAAGTCTTCCAAGAGACGTAGGAAGTCCCAGATCGTCAGGTCGCTGATATTATACCCTACAAGATGGCAACAGTACATGGGCATTCAGAGCGGCCTCGAAGCTGTCGTGGCATCCGGGGGGCGGAGCTGGCTCTTTAACTGTAACATAACAGTGACCTGCCCGGTTCCCGATGACTCGCTCATCTTCGAGCTCTGTCGCACTGGTCAGACCCGTGCTGTCGAAGCGCTTCTGGAGAAGGGAATGGCAAGCGTAGTAGACACGAGCCCCAAAGGATGGAAACCACTGCACGTAAGACGCTACTCCTGTGTGGAGAACTTATTCAAGGATGCTGATTTGGCCAGTTTGCCGCCGCAGCAGGTCATGTCGAGCTTTGCGCTTTGCTGGTCAAGGGAGGGGCAGACAAGTCTGCACTGGTGTATGAAGGACCTTCTGATGCGATCTTGTAGGTCCCCAGTATCAACTGACAGCACCGCTGCTAACGAAATTAGATCGCCCATATCGCTTTTCGTTGCATTTTGTACTGATGAGCACGCTGATATCAAGATCGCCATGCTCAGACTCTTCTGCGAATGCATTGACATCGCCGACGCCGACAGTGATGGCTGGACTGTACACGACTGGCTCAAGAGAGCGTATGCGAGAGAACGAGTTCCTATCTCGCGAAACAGTATCACGTGGCTACTTCACCTTACCGTGAATGAGGAGTACGTCGAATTCAGCGCGCGCAATATCTGGTCCGCCCTGCAACACGCGATGAGATCTGTTCTCAATCATTCCCGTCACAACAAGTACATCCAGCAGATCCTCGGTCTTTCTCACGAGGAGCGTTCAGGGGTTAGCAAGAGGCACCTGGACGCGATAGGCTCTTGGCTTGCTCTACGTGCAAGCGGCCGAGTAGTGCTGCCAATGGTCGTGAACGCCGGCTCGTTCCTGCAGATGAAGGGCTTTGATTGGATGGAGGACAACCTCACACATAAGCAATTCCTGCAAGCACTACCGAGTATCTATTCAGCTTGGTGCCACGCAGTATTGGACTGCATTGAGCAGTTGAAAGTGTATCTGCGGGAAGAGCTCGATCGCTATCTCTGCCAACTTGGTATGACACGAAGGACCTTCGTCCGTGTGCTGACTCAGGCCAAGCATATCCCTCACGGCGCTGGAAAGTCATCAAGAACTGCATGCGCCCACTGCGGAGACGACTACGGTTCATTCGCTGGTGGACTGGTCGAGCCTGCGCGCATAGCCGTCACAGAATGCGTCAGGTCCGGTCACAACTCGAACTGTATCTGCGACACGATTCAAAAAGGCTCGACGATATTAGAAGAGCTTCAGGACTATACCGGGATGCTTCAAACGGACGATACCGACGATTATACGCAATCGGATGACGAGTTCTTCGACGCACAGCCGCACGTTTTCAACGATACCGACCTCCAAACCAATCCTACATCGAACATGTTCACCGACATCGCGACTTTGCTTTACAGCGCTCAAGGCCGCATCTGGCTCGGTCAACACTCAATCGGGGAGCGCCTGTGCTCAACCTGTCTGCTACTGAAGGAGAAGTACATCGGCGAAGATGGCCTGTCTGCTGACTTTCCACCTATGCCGAGAAGTTTCGAAGGCCTGCGCGTCAAGTGGTAAGCGTGCCCAATCCATTGTAGATTAATTTTCAGAGGCTTTTCATGACACATGTGTATATTTACATTGCTTTTCGTCGACTTTTGATGGCACGCTTTAGTTGAACACGACAGTCTTTTGACCGTTCAAAAACACCCTCTTCTCGCTCCACCACTTAACTGCCGCAGCCAAAACCTGGCTTTCAACATTGCTTCCCTCCTCGACCAACTCCTTGGGGCTCAAAGCATGGTCGACCCTCGCAACGCGCTGTTCGATGATCGGTCCCTCGTCCAGATCCGCGGTAACAAAATGTGCGGTCGCACCGATAATCTTGACACCACGCTCGTAGGCCTGATGGTAAGGTTTTGCGCCCTTGAACGAAGGCAAGAAAGAGTGATGGATGTTGATAATCTTGCCCGACATCTCCGTGCACAGGCGCGGTGAGAGGACCTGCATGTAGCGCGCCAAAACAACAAGGTCGATATTATGTTGCTTGATGAGATCCAGAATCTGCGTCTCCTGCTTCTCCTTGGTGTCCTTGGTTACAGGAAGGTGGTGGAACTCAATGCCGTTGTTCTTTGCCAGCTCGGCAAACTCGGGGTGGTTGGACACGATAATAGGGACTTCGACTTTAAGTTGACCAGACTTGACGCGGAACAAGAGGTCGTTGAGGCAGTGTCCGATTTTGGATACCATGATGAGGACTTTGGGCTTGGAGTCTACCCGCTGGATCTGGTATGTCATGCTCATTTCCGAAGCGAGCTTCTTCATGCTTTCTTGCAGCGCGGATACATCTGCTGCATGCCCGAAATGCACACGCATAAAGAACTTCTTGGAGTCCGGGTCGGAGAATTGCTGGAGATCGAGAATCGTGAGGTTTTCCTTTGCGAGTAGGCCCGTGACGGCATACACAATGCCTGCCTTATCCGGGCATGAGAGCGTGAGGTAGTGATCGTCGCCTGCCATTTTGGATGTTGAAATCCGTTCTGCGGAGCCGATTTGTTGAAGTCGCGGTACGGAGGTTGCTATGGATCGCCGGCTGCTCAATTGCAAAGATGACTGTTTTGTCGAAAATTTGGGAACTAGGTTTTGCCGGTTTCGGAAAGCGTCGTTTGGTGGGTTTATGGACTGCCGGGCCGTGATTGCGCGGGTTGATGTGTGGAGAGACCGTGTGCAGGTGCGCGCTGGTCGGAGAAACATGTCGATGACAATTGGATCTTTTTTTGTGAGATCTGAGCGCGGAATGGCGTTTTCTTGATGCCGTGCTTGACATCTGCGGCTTGGGTGTAGTTGCCGGAATCGGCCGGCGATCTAGCCTCGTCGCTTACCAGTTGAGCCACCAGTTCGTGGGGATGCCGGTACCAAACTTCAAGTTTCTGCTTGCATCGTGTGGAGAAAAGCACATATCGTGCCAAGGGCTCAAGAAATGAGATAGATGTGGCGGAAAAGGCAAGGCTCACACGATCATGCCTCCTTCCGTCATCCTGCACCGAACGATGGTTCTGCTAACGTGGCCACCCACAGAATGCTCATATTGCTTTTATATAACCGATATGCTTCTCCGCCCATCTAATTAGATCGATATCTTCATCCGCTCGAATGCATCCACGAACTCGGTGTAGTCCCAGACGTCTTCGTCTTCAAGAACGAACCGCGAACCCGCATATTCATCTCTCGAGAGCCCAGGCGAAGGCACCATCTCGAGATGCACAATCCGACGCAGTCGCTCGTTCTCCCAAGGACACATTTGACCCATCCAACTAGCAACCAGATCGACACGCTGCTCTCTAGTCTTGTTGGCCACATCAAAGAAAGCAGGTTTCCAAACCTCCTCACGCGGTGGCTTCAGTGAGTACGTCAGCGTGTCTAGGTATGGGAAGTGCTCCAATATAGCCTCGCTGCTACGCAATATCTCAGGCCAAAACCTCCTCTTCCAGCAATAGCTGACGTGCTCGAGAGACTTGTCGAAGATGCCGCGAGGACTTGCTTCAGTCACAATGTGCCGTACCAAACACCGATTGGCGGAACCCACGTCGATGTTGCCCAGCGCCCAGAAAGAAAAAACGTTCGACCCGTAGAAAACAGGGCTGCTTTCTGCCCGCAGCTGTCGACACGTCCTTATGAGTGCTACCGGGATCTGGCCGCTGCATAAGGGTTGCGGTTCAATCGGACCTTCGCCGCCATGTCGGATGTTCAGCACTCTCATCACCGGCCGAACTGCGAAGGGGTCGCGCGAGTAGACGAGAACCGCGCCTTTGATGCGGAACGCGAACTCGTAGATCATGTCGCGAAGTTCGCGCGGTAAGTCCAGAAACCCAACTTTGGACGCATCTTTTTTCTGAGATGCCGCCCAGGGTATCGATGCGTTTGGCTGTGGTCGTTAGCTTGCGAAGGCCCAGGGGGTCGCGACTGAGGGCACACACCGTTGACGCCATCTTCGACCACCGTACGTGCGACAGACACAATCAAAATTCTGGGAATGAATGTCAGAATATCTTACTACCAAAATGACGGACTTGCGACATGATATCCTCCAGGACAATGACACGCAGGATGCGTAGACTAACCAAATCGGATACGAAAGGGCGGGGCTCTGATCCTCGCTTTCCGTGTCATTCATCCGAATCAATAGTTTGCTTTGACTTTACGCGCGTATCGCACGCATACCTCCGTAGGTTCTCACTTGCGAACAGAAGCGACGTTGTCATGGTCACGGTCATCTGAGGTCCAATCTTACATACTGTTGCGCATGACCGGCCACCCAGCACTATGTCGGGCTCTACCACCAGTACGATGCTGCGGCGAGGAACGGAGGAGTATAAAATACGCATCGTTACTCTTCTTCTCTTCCTTTTTTCCCCTGAAAAGTCTCCTCATTCATATTTTTCCAAAGCCATATGGATGTGCATTTTCCAAAATACTAAGTCGAGCGTGCGATGTGCAGATGGCCTCGGACCGGCAACATCTTCATGGGGAGTAGCTCGCAATACAAACTGATCTATTTCAACGCTTCGCGGTCTTGAAACTGTTCTCCCTCCTATATTCTATTGTCACTTCCAACAAAATCTCAAAACACTGAGATGTACAGTCGATGTCGTTTTCGGCGCCGAGTTGTTCAAAAGTCTTGGTTCATCCTGTTCATGTTCTGTCTGTGCGACAAGACGGAAAGACATGAGATACCACGTTGAACAAAAACAACACCTTGCGCCACATGTTGTGCCCTAGCCTACCTCTAGTTGGTCGAATATATAAACCTCGACTTTCGCTCGTCTTCTTCCTCAACTCCTCTCCATATCGACTTTGTTCTCCAAAACAAAACAAAAATGTTGACATGGGATGTGTCCGTCCTTCTTTTTTTAAAAGAAGATAATCAAGAAATTATGAGCGTTATCCCCGCTCTTCTCTGCCTTCCATTGTCACTTGCAACAAGAGATCAAGACGGAACCAAGACAGATACATGTTGTTCTTCGCGCCGAGCTCTGGAGACCTTCAAAAATGGTGGATATAGTGGCTTTGTTTTGTCTGAGCAACAAGAGCACATGAGAGCACATCAAAAACCGAAAATCAGTTGGTCTCGCGATATGCTGCGCTGAGTGTTCACCTCTGGTTCCTGGCATATATAAACCTCGCCTTCCGTGCACCTAGTTACTCCTCAATTCCCCTCTTCTTCTCCTTTGCTCCAAAAACGGGGGATCAAGCCTTTCATGTGTTCGGCCCTCGCTTTCCAAAATTATATCAGACAGGAACAATGAGCACTGCCTTTGATCTTCCGCCGAAAACTGACTTGCAACACATTACCTCCAAAAGTCTGTGAGCATGTCAACATGAGTGTCTGTCCTGCTCTTGTTTGGCCTCCGAGAACGAGGCATCTGATACCGTTTATGAAAAAACCCTGGCTTTCAAAATGGCATGTACTCCGATACATGTGTTGCCGCCACCCGTCGACTGGCACAAAAGTCAATGCAGAGATAAAAACACATTCCCTCAAACCGATGGAAATACGTTCAACAAAATCAGGCTATAGAGAGACATGAGCTTCTGTGCAGAACTTGGGCTGTCATTCAAACGGGTGTAGTAGTCCGGGTATGACGTCCTCATGGAACTCCGATCAGGCTACCGCCTCGTTTGCTATGAGGGTGCTGGACGGGTATATAAAGAGGCGAATGGTCACAAAGCCTCCTTCTCTCTACCCTCTCCCTCGTGCTCAAAAAGAGGGGAGAACTAAAAAATACAGCTTGCTGTTATAATGGCACTGGTCGAGTGCTTTGGCTGTGATCTGTACTTAGCCATCATGCGTATTCGTGATGATCAGCATCATCGTTCAGAAAGCATTGCAACTCTAAGAACTCCATGTGTTATTGCTTCATTTGTTTTGAGCATTATATTTTCCGCCGACTATACGCCCAGTACGCTTTCATGGGCAGCTTCCAGTCGACCTTCCTCAGATTCGCATCGAAGATGTCAAAGTCCACTCCTTCTAGTCTATCCAGCCAAGACTGAGTCGCTATGCTCGGCATAAAGACACCGAATGCCTGTTCGACCTCCGCTAGTTGTGCCTCCTGCCCTGTGTTCATCTGCTGTGCGCTGTACTGATGTTCCTCCTCATTCTGGTGTTCGAAGTCGTGGCCGAGTGTGCCTTCGGATCGCAGCTTAGACAGCATCTCGCGGGCGGTGATGAGGTGGTCATTTGCGCGTGTCGCGACGGTGAAGATGGCGTCGCGGAGACCGGGGGCGGAAGCGCCTTGTCGGAAGACGTCTTCTTCGCGGACGTTGGCTTCGGCCATGACGTCGAGTGGGAGGAGTACGGCGCCTTGTGTGGGTCCAGACTGCCCGGTCATGGAGTTGCTGGTGCCTAGTGGCTGTTGTGGAGGGAACGCGATGAGTGGAATGCCTCGTAGTACGGCTGCGATGCCCATGGCCTTGCCGATATGCGATGCGATGTGGTCGGTGGTGAGCGAGGCCTGGGGCAGCGCTGACAGCGTCAGATACAACATGGTCGAGTATGTATTCTCCGCATAGCTTTCCAGTGCGCTCAACGTGGGATACGGTGGGTTCCCTAGATATTGTTCTCTCGTGTTGATGATGCGATGGAACCAGTTCTTGCTCAGTCGCGCCTTCCCACCAGATCGCTCATGCAGGTCCTCAGCTGCTTGTGCTAGCAGTATGGCGACTGGCTCTTTCGGAGGTGTGCCAGCCAATGCTTTCGTCACGGTATCTCTCCAGAATTGCATGCGCATCATGCCAATTGTGGGTGTGCTGGTAGTGTCGGCGACGCGGGCGACATCGACGTTGAAGGCGCGGATCGCGAGGTAGGCATCTCGGGAGGATTGCGGTATGAAGGTTTGAAGGACATGTGAGGGCGCATCATATGTTCTGCCGTTTCGTCAGTGTGCGACAGTAGAGAGTTGCCGTTATGAAGCTACCTGACTAGATTCGCGCAGTAAGCACGTGCGCGTGCAATCTCATCTTCTGAAGGGCGAGCAGCATTTTGCAGTCGTGGCGAGGTGTGAAATTGCCTCCGTCGTGGTCTTGGATAGGTGTGTATGCGCCGGACAGGAGCTATGCGGAGCCTCGGAGGCGGCATTGAAAACTTTTGAGAAGACGAAAACTACTGTACAGAGCGAAGATGCATGGGAATCGAGCAGAGAATGAAACAAAATCGATCTACAGCCCTAGAAGATGCATGTGTTTGCGCAATCTGGGGGAGGCGCAATTGCTCGTAAGGCACAAAGAGTGCACGGCGACTGGTGGGTTGTATGACGCTATTACGTCGATCACCCGCAGTCGCCACGTGAAAGCGCGTCGACGCGACTGGACGAATTGGGCGCAGGCGACGGAAGCGCAACACCAACCCACGACACCACACTATGGAGTCACCACACCCAGACGAGAGACCCGTCAAGAAGCGCCGATTCTTCATAGAAGACTCCTCTCCTCCTCAGCCGCAGTCGAAACCCATCGAACCTCCCCCTTCGTCGCCGCCACTACACGCCGCAGATGCACCAGACGAAAGCAATGGCAACGACGAAGAGGCAGATTTTGGGAGTTTCGATGTCGGAATGCTCCAGGCCGTCGTTGGAGAACTCTCTACCACGGTATTGCAGAAGCTGAAAGACGTCAGTGGGAGCAATGTAGAACGAGGTATGCCAGTAAGTCTGAGGTTGTAGTTGCATGGCTGACAATGTGTAGCAATCAACCTCTACTTGGACGGCTCATGGAGCAAGATGCCCTCACCGTCCCCCGCACCCGTCTACAAATCCGGTCGGCAGCCCATTCAGATGACGATAGCGAAAACCCTCAATCGAACCGAATCCGAAATATCCAATGCGTCCACACCAGGCTCAGGCACCTCCACACCCACGATACTGCGAGAGATGCCCAGTAAGCGCTACATTGGCTCGTTTGGCGTCGTAGGCTTTGCTACCAAGAGCGGATCTCAGCTGAAGCACGACGAAAAAATACGCATCGAGCGCACCAAGCCACAACCCAAACTCAACAAGGCAAAGAAGGTCATCAAACTCTCGAAACCAGATATCGTAGTCAGGTTCATGAATGAGCGTGGGGCTGAAGTTGGCAGATTAGACAACGACTCAGCAGCCTGGGTATCTGTGCTACTCGACCAGAAAGTCTGCTCTTTCGACGGCTCGGTTGTATACACGCCCGATAAAATACGCACAGGCGATACTATATACCTACAGCTACGAGCCTTTTTCGTTCGCGCAGCATTCGATTCGCGCAAATTTGCCAAACCGGACAACAATCGAGAAATCAATCTGTTCGAAGAGAAGGAATCTTCCGACGAGCGAGACCTTCGGTTACGGCAAGTTGGTCTTGTGAAGCTCTTCGATAACATCAACCTCCAACCGACCCGTGAAAATGAAGAGACGGCGAAGCACAAGCGACAAGGTCTATTACAGGCAGCAGAGAGTGAGGACAAGAAAGGCGATAAGCCGAAGCCGAAGAACGGTGCATCCTCCACGCCTGCGACGTCTACCAATCCCACATCCTCCCCGCCACCCGACGAAGCCGAAGAAGGAGAAGAGCTGGAACAAGATCAACTGGATTCACTCTACAAGAAGGCGCAGTCTTTCGACTTTGACACTCCAACCATGGAGCCAGCGAGCACCTTCCGCATGGACTTGCGCAAGTATCAGAAGCAAGCGCTCTTTTGGATGGTCAGCAAGGAAAGAAATCAGTCCATAGAGGACAAGGAGACCTCGATGCATCCCTTGTGGGAGGAATACCAGTGGCCAACTCACGATGCAGACAATCAGCCAATACCGACCATCGAAGACCAGACCATGTTCTACGTCAATCCCTACTCTGGCGAGCTCTCGCTGGAATTCCCGAAGCAAGAGCAGAACTGCCTTGGCGGTATACTCGCTGATGAGATGGGTCTGGGTAAGACCATTGAGATGCTCAGCTTGATCCACACAAATAGGACAGAAGTTGACGAGGATGCTTTGGCGACACGGAAGGCTCTTCCCCGGTTGCAAAAGCTCGGTGCCGAAGTTGAGCCTGCGCCATACACCACACTCGTCATAGCACCCATGTCATTGCTGGCACAATGGCACAGTGAAGCCGAGAAGGCGTCCAAAGAAGGTACACTGAAAGCCATGCTCTATTACGGCTCGGAGAAGGCTGTGAACCTGCAGAAGCTATGTTGTGCATCGAACGGCGCTAATGCGCCCAACGTTATCATAACGAGCTACGGCACAGTTCTGTCAGAGTACAACCAGGTGGTTGCACAGGAAGGGAACCGTGGCTCGCATGGTGGCATCTTTTCGCTAGAGTACTTCCGCATCATCCTTGATGAAGCGCACTACATCAAGAACCGGCAGTCGAAAACGGCGAAAGCATGTTACGAGCTCAGTGCAAAACACCGATGGGCGCTCACAGGAACACCCATCGTCAACCGCTTGGAGGACCTATTCAGTTTAGTCCGCTTCCTTAAGGTCGAGCCATGGGCAAACTTCTCATTCTGGAAGACATTCATTACCGTACCCTTTGAATCAGGCGACTTTGTACGTGCCTTGAATGTGGTACAGACAGTACTAGAGCCACTAGTGCTTCGACGAACGAAGGACATGAAGACACCTGATGGTGAAGCTCTAGTGCCACTGCCCCCACGAACGATCGAAGTTGAGAAGATTGTGCTGTCACAAGACGAGCGGGATGTGTACGACCACATCTTCCTGCGCGCGAAGAGTTTGGTCAATGCTAATGCAGAAGCCGGCACACTAATGAAGTCGTATACAACCATCTTCGCGCAAATTCTACGACTACGGCAATCATGCTGCCATCCTGTACTGACACGCAATCGCAACCTTGTCGCTGACGAAGAAGACGCCTCGTTAGCATCGGATCTCGCAAACGGATTGGCGGATGATATGGACCTTTCCTCTCTGATTGAACGTTTCACTGCCGAGGGCGACCAAGATGTCAACAGGTTCGGCGCACATGTCTTGAAACAGATCCAAGATGAATCAGCGGCCGAATGTCCAATCTGCTCCGAAGAACCTATGATTGAGCAAGCAGTCACCGGCTGTTGGCACTCAGCCTGCAAAGAGTGCTTACTAAGTTATATAGCCCATCAGCGCGACAAGAACGAGATACCGCGCTGTTGGAACTGCCGCGAACCCATCAATGCGCGCGACGTCTTTGAGGTCATTCGGCACGACAATGTCACCGAAGGAGACGAAGATAATCACGCTTTTCGCGCCACTGACGCACCGCCTACCTCCACGCAGACACCACGTATCAGCCTCCGTCGCATCGGCGTCACCGGCTCCGCGAAAACTCAAGCCCTTCTAGGCCATCTCAAAAAGACACGCAAAGAAGAAAAAGGCGCGAAAACGGTCGTCTTCTCCCAATTCACATCCTTCCTCGACCTCATCGAACCAGCTCTAACCCGCGACCACATCCCCTTCCTCCGCTTCGACGGCTCCATAAGCCAGAAAGTGCGCGCCCAGATCCTTACCGAGTTCACAACATCACCGAAACCATACGTCCTGCTCCTCAGTCTGAGAGCAGGCGGTGTAGGTCTGAACTTGACCTGTGCAAACAAAGTCTTCATGATGGACCCGTGGTGGAGTTTTGCTGTCGAGGCCCAGGCTATCGACCGTGTGCATCGTATGGGCCAGGAGAGAGAGGTTAAGGTAATACGGTTTTGTGTAGAGGGCAGTATTGAGGAGAAGATGCTTAGGATTCAGGAGAGGAAGAAGTTTATGTAAGTGGAACGCGTGTTGCTAAGGGTGAAGAGTGGGTACTAACGTGTTGCAGTGCGAGTTCGCTGGGTATGATGAGTGATGAGGAGAAGAGGGTGCAGAGGATTGAGGATATCAAGGAGCTATTGAGTTAGATGGAAAAGGTTTGGCGGCTGTTTACAGGGTACAGAGCAAGTGGATGATTACATGCGATTATACCCTGATTTAGTAGGCCTACGACATAGAATAGGAATTCATGACTACGTAGTGTCCCGTCGCTAGAAGATCGTGGGCTTTGGAGTGGTCGGCTTCCACGCTCCTGCCTCACCGTGCCTTCCCAAAGCTCCCGCAACCCTCCCGGCCACGCCTGCCACGACCATCAGCGACTGCCACAACACACCAAGATGACGCGTAGGAGCTCTCGCATCAGGCCATGACGCTTCCGCATCGCCGCACACATTTCCCACAATATTGCATGCCACCAGCATCTACATATGCCGTCAAATTCCCTTTCATCCCATCAAACACCATCTCACGGGCATGTCGTCTAATGGTAGGACGCTTGAGCACAGTACACCACCTTCTCTCTCCATCAATGAAAATTGTTGGCCCCACTGGCGATTCAACTCGTTGGCTCTCTCCATCAATGCAAATTGTTGGCTCATTCCATTCGCCACCGCTTGCCACTGATTAACTTCTTTGGTTACAAGAAATGCGGGTTCGATTCTCGCCATGTCCATCATGTTTTTTTGTTCCGCTCAATGTCCGTTGCTATAGCTTTAGCCATCCTTGAATCGCTCACCAACGACTATCAAGGGCATGTCGTCTAATGGTAAGATACTCACCTAGACGACTAGGGCGTATCCATCGTTTTCCTTTGGATATTGCAGAGAAATGCGGGTTCGAGTCTCGCCATGTCCAATCGTTTTTGCTCTTCGCGATGGCCCAATAGTTCCATTTTGGATTAGGGTGCTGCGAAGGGTGCTCTTACTTTTTCGGTGTGATTCGCCATCGCAATGTTTGACCGCACA